ATCCATCTAACCCTCCCATCTCATCTGCTACACCATCTGTGCAGCTGTAATAAGCAGGACTCCTCATGTGCTCTTTTTCAATCCCTTGCTTTCTTTTCCCTCCTGATTCTTAGCTCATCACCCTCTCCAGGCGCGGCCTCCCCTGCCTGGCTGTTTGACTGACTTGTTTGCATCCCATGACGAAGCTACCATGCAGTCAGCCTCGCTGTGTGCAAAAATGGCTCTGATGCTTTTGTATAACACACTCCATCCTGCCATTACGCAGCAAGCCCAGACAGTTAACACAGCACTGCTTTCATTTTTTGGTGAAAGGATGTTGGAACCGTAAATGTGATAACCTTACGCATGCTTTCTCCGTGACATCTACATGAGTTGTGATCACTCTCAATTACTCTGACAAAACAATGCCATCCCTCCCTCACAGTGAAGAATGTACAGCCCTAGAGCATGCTATTGATCTGAGCCAGTCATCACACTGACATCTCACTCAGCTGGGTAATGGAAAAATCTGTGTGAAATATTGTGTGTGATTTTCTTGGCTTCAGGTTCAAACACAACAAAACCATCTTCGAAGACAAACTTTGAGCATGTGAATAGTTTTTCCTTAACAATGTAAAGTGCCTGGTAAAAGGCTTCCACCGGTAGGCCAGGGCACTGCGCCACACCACAAATGTTGACAGGCTTTTATGGTGTCCATAATGATTGTATGACCACCAAAATAAAATGGCATGACTGGGAAATCATGGAATATCATTCAATACAACAAAGAGCTCTACTGCCTCACAGTGGCATGTTTTGGCAACAGTCCTAAATACTTTAGAGAAGTGGTACATCAAATAACAAAACTGTGTTCATTTCAAGATGTCTGAAAAAATTCTGACCATTTTGTATAAAACCCTGATCACTTGCTTTTAAGCTAAAATGTGATTTTAAAATAATAATCTTTTTCCACAAAGCCCCTGAAAACCTTTACCAGCCTCTTATTCTGACAAGATTAACACTATTTTGTGCCAGTGAATGTTCTTGACTAAGGATGTATATTTGTTTCTTGAACTTTAATTGTTGCATATTTACTCATGAACATTCAATGTAGTAGAGAAAGGTCCCATAGAATGCAGAATCTACTTTTTAAAATCATCCGAAAAGTGTCAATGGTAGAAACACATCAAATGTGACAGAGCCCTATTTCCCCTCTCCTTAACTGGCCATTCACAATTCGTTCCCTTGTCTACGTAACAAGGGGGCTGTCAGGTAGACTCACCTGTGGCGCAGTTTGCAATCTAACGCCGCCATGTTCGTCATTTCCTGTCTGACAGACAAGCTACCGGGAGCTAAGCATGGTAAATGCCCTGTTGTTGGCCGTAGCAATGTACATAAAGTTCGCTTTTTACTTCCATTATCACAAGGTCTCGAGACACAGCACAGTCGTTTATTTAAGGTGGAAATGTGCTGACTGCTGTCTTCATTGTGTGCAAGCTGTTTCACGTAGGTCTGCTGAGGAGGGCTAGTTCTCAAAGTTGGAGACTGAATCTGAAGGATGGACTGATTCTGACTGTCAGTGACACTACTTCTCATCGTGAAGCTGCAAGTGTTTCTCTTTTTAAAGTTAATATACTGCTTTATATTTATTCAGAAGTTAGCTTCTTGACCTGTTTAGCCACATTAGTTGTCTAGCTAGTTAGCCACATTAGCTAGACAGCTAACGGTAGCTTCACACACTGAAGCAGGTAAATCTTCTGACCAATAAATTTGAGGAACAGTCAGAATGTAGAAGAGGATTTGTGTGAAACTTCTTGCGCCAACTTCGCCAGATCAGTAGGTTGGGTGATGGTAACTTGGCTTGTTAATCTAAGATATCGTTCTTATAGCATGCTATCGCTGCGCAGCTTGGCTGCTACTCAGGGCCCAGGAGTTCAACATAATCCCTCTCTCCGTGGATCAGAGTTGGGTTTTGGGTAGTTCAAAACCCAAAAAACACGATTGGGATCCTTTTTTGATATCTAATCAGACCATATCAGGAAATCAACTTCAAGATTTAATCTGGATCAAATCCCCCAACCCGGTAGTTAAAAAGAAAACCGCTGGATTTAGGTCAGATTGATCCAAACTATCTGGATCAACATGACCTTTGTCCCACTAGGGGTCTGGATTAGCACAGCAAATTTTACTATGCAGTCAATTTTAAAAGTATGTTTTAGTTGTAAATAAGATGGTAAAGTTTGCAGAGTGGAATAATACATCATTTGTCGCCTTTATATGGCTGATATACTTTTGTTTATTTTTGTCAAATTTGCAGTGGCCACTTGCAAATTGTAACTCAGTGTATTCAACCAAATAACGAGTTTGTCATCATAAAATTATCTCAACAAAATGAATGTCAGTCACAGATATCTTCATCACAGAAGTCACGAGTCCATCATCAACCTTAAAAAGTAGCTATGGACACTTTGCCACCACTCAGTCTCTGGTTTAGAGGAAATGGCTTTGAATTGCTTCTTTGTTCTTTGGATACACTAAGTGGAAATGGTTAGGATTGAAACACTGATATTTCAGATTTGGTAATCCTGAAAATCTTGAATCTGGATCAGGGTGATCTTATCCTGAGTTGCTTTGAAATACTGGGACAAATTCTGGCTGAGTTGTCTGATCCTGAATAAATCTCATCAGATCTGATTGAGATTAAAAGTTTTGAACCCAGGTGTCTGTTGTTGGCATTACACAGAGTATCCGTGACCCTCCTGGTTTGTTTGTTGCATTACTTTACCAGCATCAAGTTGCTATTCATCTGCATGTTAATGGACAGTTTTTGAAGTCGGTCAAGAAGAGTAAAATCCCTTTTCACTTATCTCATTGTTCATATGTTCATTTTAGGGTCTAAAGCCAACCTGTTAGATCATTGACATTATTAACCTGGCTCAACCACATCTGTAATTTTACATCCTAGGGGAGAAGCTGCAAACGTGTAGTTTTGCTAGGGACGTGGCCCTACCACTGTTCTGGGAGGACAGAAGTGTCCCTCCCAACATTTGAATAAACCTGGGCACATTATCTTTGGAGTGAAGTCATATTAGATCATTCCGATGTGCCCGATTGAGTGAAAGGGAGGGGGCGATCTAAAGCTCACATTGCGTGCAATTGTCATATTTGCTCCCAGACATGGAGGAGGCGTTAGCTGGGGATCATTGTGCTGACAACGGTATGTTACAGTGGCTGACTTCGGTGGTGTGGGAAAGATATTCACAGATTTGAAGTTTCCGTATCAAGAGCAAAACATTGCTAAAATGCAAACAATGCCTCTTTTGTTTCATAGTCATGTAGACAACGAGCTCCAAGCTCATGTTTATCAGAATGAGCCGTCCTCTGCTCCAGACAAATGGCATTGGTCTCAATGTGCACAGGGACCATCTACAAAGTGCAGCACTGAAGAGAGACAGGCCTGCTACAAAAATATTCACTAACTGTCACCAAAAGCGCTCATTGCCATGGATAAGCTAGAAACCGCATGAAAACAAATGATTTTATATGTTGGAAGCAGCATCAGGCAAGAGAAGCAGAGCAGGCTGATGAGGGAACAGGTGCATTAACAGTGTTTCAGGTGAGGCTCTAATTCAGGTCAGGGGTGTGTTGGGGGGGCTGATTTGTTCCTACCAATGCTGAGACCAAGCCTACACCCTTGCTTTAAAGAAATCCAGATTATAATAAAACTGATTTTTAACTGTAGTTTATATGCTTTATTTAGCAGGTGCAACCACCCGTTTCTTTGTATGTATTCTTTCCCTGTTCGGATTAAATCACTACTCCCATCCTCCTCGGATTCTGGAAAGAGTAATTCATCTGGATTGAGTAGAAATCCAAAAGTCTCAAATGATGACCAGGAGGATCTCTGACTCGCGTGTGTGTGTGTTTGCGTGTGCAGGATTTGATTGAAGCTTCTTTTCATTTTCCTCAGTGTCATGAAACTTCTCAGGCTGCAGACACCGGCTCCTCTGTTCGATGACTCCTTGTCCCAGGCTCCAAGCCCAGGCACCGGTGTCTCCGTCCAGTACAGGTATGCTCTTTAGGTCATGGTTCAGAGGGACAGACATTCCCCCAGCATCTGGAGAAAAGCCCTGACTTCAAAGTGTTAGGGTCTTTATATTCTTTCACCATACGCAACAATGTAGTTTCTTCCCATTGATTAAATGTATAGCGTGCTAGACTTGTGCTTAGATATGGACAGTGCATGATACCTTAAGTCATCCCCTTTTTCTGCATTTGGAGGGTTGTGCAGTTTCCAGCTGACTGCTGACATCAGTAGCACATTTCACATTTGTTTTAGATCACCTTTTATCCAGGTCTTTTTTGTGGCCCTGCTCAGGTTTTAGTGTGATTTATGGTCACCCTGCTCAGTTCGTGTGGGCCCATCCTGCCTTCTGCAGACTTCCAGCTGTAGTTCCATTCTGCACTTACTGTCTAGTGCGAATAAAAAATTTGTCTGCATTGTTGTGTGTTTCTAGTTGTGATCTCGCCCTGGAATTGCTTTACACACTGGACTGAGTGTAACTTGAACAGTAAATTGTTGAATCTGATTTTGTATGACATTAATTTTCTCCTTGTGCCAGACATCCACACATCCCTTTGTGCCAAACATGGGATGAAAGGAAATGATTGGCAGCAGGTGCGTATCATTTACATATTTATTGTATTAACTAATTAACCACCACATTTTTATATCGTGATAAAATCATTTTATTGTATGCAAGTGCAAACACTGTTCTCCAAATACTACTGAATACTCTATTTTTAGCAACTCCAGCTTTTAACAAGCTGGAGAAGGTGCTGACCACCAAGAGGCTCCTGAAGGATGTCGGGAAGCAGAGTCCACGCCCCCAGACGTCTTCCATAGAGGCACTTCGCTATGTCATTTCCACTTCTTGGAATGGTGTGCAGGTAAGTTAAATTTTCTGTTGTTTAAAATGGTTAATATGTTTACAGTCTGGTTAATTATATTTATTGTCCCTTTCTGTAATTAGGCTGCACTTTACTGAGATTGCTGACCAGGCACAAACGGTGGCAGGAGGCCCTTGATTTAAAGGCCTGGATGTGTTGCGACACCAGTCAAGAACAAGTCGACACTCTCTGTAAGTGTTAACGTCTTTAACATGCACAAAAAAAGGTACATGTATACAGTATATACACACTCAGCAGCCACTTTATTAGGTACACCTGTATGCGCTTCAAAATGTATAAACTCTTATGTTTATTACTGAGGTCATAGTTAAAGGTGTTCCTAATATTATGACCCTCTCATGTAGGTAGCTGGGGAGGGCAAAAATGTCGTTCAGTACACCACCGCCTTAACCATTATCCACTTATGAGACACTTTCAGCTTCATAGACACAGCTGTACCTAATAAAGTGGCTGGTGACTACAGTACTATCAGTTTCAGAAGAAAAACAGTAAAAAATAAAACTTTATAAAACAGACTTTTCAGGCAGTGTCGATGCAGATATTAACTATTTCATGTTCTTTGTCCAACATCCCACAGTGGCTGCTGCTTGAGGGGCCTCAATCCAGAATGTCGTTGTGGCCCCAGCTCCATCAGCAGCGGGCTGCAATCTTCAGGGCTGCCTTAGGCGCTAGGAAACTCCACGCAGGCAGAACCACCACTGGGACCAGCTCATGTGTGGAACATTAAGCGACTGACAAAGGTGTGCTCTGAAACAGAGGTTTGTACCTGTTAATGTAATATGTAAGCTTGTAAGTTTAGTTTTCTGGGTCTGCACTTGGCAGCCAATGGATTTTCATTTTGAAAGGAGAACAAACGGAAATTTGGAATTAAGGTAGTGTGTGTTTGAACAGACAGATGTCTGCGCTCTGGCTGCATTTATTTGTACCACTGATAAAAATCTAAATATTTCGCTGCCTTTGCCAGAGTGACAGTAGTGGTGATTGTGCAAACTAAAGTAAATGGCGTTAGAATAAAGTGGTAGCTCAAAAAGAAAAGTTATTTTCTGATTGTAACACAGTGGTTATATGTTCCATAGTACAAATAAACAACACCGCTGCAGAAAGGATTGTGTGAATCCAGAGCACAAGGCACCTGTGGCCTCTGCCCTCGCTCAAGCAGACAGACGCACAGATCTGAGGCTCTTAATTTCTGAATTCCATATATAAACATAAAACATCAGATAATGGTCATTTCTTTTGTGTGGTTTACTATTAATGAATGAAAATCCATTGGCCAACAAGTACATGGACCTTTTGGTGTGGAAGCTCCATTTTACAGGTTTGCACATTGAGTTTCAGGCTTACAAACCTTCACAAGCTGATTCAAGAAAAAACAAAACCAAAACTTGTGTGCTTATGGACTTTTTCCACACATTTACTGTGTAGTCCAGTTCTGTAGGCAGAGAAGAGGGCAAGATTTTCAACTCTGGACCAATCAGCAGCGTTGGAGCCACTACAGGCCACACAATTGGCCAGAAGTTGAAATCTGAAACTGAAATGTGCAAACCTGTAAAATAGATTTTGTAGGCAGATGCCTAAATGTACAAGCATCGATGAGCTGGATACCTGTAACGAATAAAATGGTCGATATTTACACTGCAAGAAGTTAAGTTTCCATGATAACTAGATTTTTTTTTTTTTCCTCAGTGAAAAGATTGAAAGTTTTGCTTGTATAAAGTGGGGCCTAATTTGTTTACTCTTGGCCAAAGTGGCACAATGATGCATGTTATGAATACTGATGTGTGTGAGTGATAGAAATAAATGGTTTTACAGTATTCATGAAATCTCAGCTGTGCAATAATTTTTATGACAAGGCAAATGTAGTTGTACATGTAGAGGTTCCAGGCTATTCTAAAACATCAATGAAAAAGGTCATTCATGCACATTTCCTCCACAGACAATGTTTTGAATCTTTGTCAGGTCAAAGTTTTAAACTGTAAACTTTGCATTCCCACTCATCTTTAACTAACCATCTCTGTGCTATAGACTGGCCTGGTCCTCCCACTGAGGGTCAGGACTGCTAACAGCACTTACCAATATTAGTTACAAACACAGTACCCTCGAAATAATTGCATCTCAGAAAAAAAAAATTCAAGATACTAAATAAATCACAAAAAATACCACAGTGTTTCAAAATACATCCAGTCCCAGACAATGTTGAGTAGCCCAAATGTCTGGGACTGTATATTTTTAGAGGATGGTCTGGTGCGGGTGAGGGGCCCCTGGGGCACTTCAGGTATCTGCACATATCTTTTATGTATTTCTGATAATTCTTTGATGTTTATGAAGATGGATTACATCTAGATGTGATGTGTGTATAAATATATATATATGGGAAGACTAGGGGTTATGTCAGGGGTGCCCAATCCCAGTCCTCAAGGGCTGAGTTATGTATACAGGTCACATATTGTTGGATGTACAGGATATAACACTTCATAATGTATGTAGTATTTAGTATATTTTTATTCTACAGTACTTGCTATGAGATGTTCTGACACTCAAGAGGGTGGCTTACCAATGGACCACACTTGACACAATCAGGCTATTAAAGTTATAAATGGGTGTGAACATAACATTTTACAGATATTTTGAAACTATTGCCCTGATCTAGAATTTGGCCTAAATGTTGCAGCATTGTTTAGGAGTGTGGTTACATTTTTGATTGAATTATTGCAACATATTTCATTAAATCTAAGATATAATCCAACAGACTTACAGGTAACCACATATTTTATGAATTAAAAAAAAAAAGAAACACTTACTGTTCTCTTCCACTTAGCCGTAAAGGGTCAGTCAGCTGGGTCTGTGTTGAATGCATTCTGTAGGGAGAACACGTTGAGGCAAACAGGGTCCAGCCCAGGACGCTCTGCCATGCACGATGGACTGCTCTGCTGCTGCAGCTGTCTTCTGACCTAGTTTGAATTACAAACATATGTGTCATGTGAGCTGCAATCAGGAATGTTCTGAGTAAAAACAACGTTACCTGTGGTATCTCCCTGCAGCGTGTTGACATTTTCAGTAGGTATAGTTCACAGGGTCCACACGTGCACCTAATATTAAAATGTAAAATATGAGGATAAAAAATGTAGTAGTCAAATTTCCAACAAACATCACAAGCTTAGGAGTAGCCTTGTTTACCAGCCACAAATCTGAATTACTAAAGATAATGAGAATGACACATTTTGCACGTAGGCTACCCAAAATGTGTATTTTAAATCAGTGGTATGTCATTTTGTAAAAATTGCTTACACCAAGAAAACTTTTTGATAGCATGCTTTGTCCATTGTGTTTGAAAAAGACAATTATCCACACGATTAAATATAATAATAGTCAATAACACATGCAAGGTGTATTCCATGACTTACTATATTGCTTAGGGAGAATGTGAAGCTGTGTCACACCATGTTCAGTGTTGGGATGTGGGCACCATCTTGTGATTTACTCACTCTGTTAAACTGTGCCTGCTCCAGTGGTTACCTGCATACCTTTTGTTTGGTGGGCGCAGGCGGAAGACAATAGTGGACCAAGCCATCAGCAGGTTGCAGCATAAAAAGGTCTTGGGAAGAGCACAGGACAGTCAGGCAGGACTGGCTGCGGAAGAACCAGGGCAGTTCTGGTCCAAAACCACAAGGGAGAAGAGGAAGACCTTGGTCATGGAGGAGGTCACGCTGACGAAGCAGGAGCATTACCTCATCAAGGCCATGTCCCAGTGGCAGCAAGGAGCATGGACATGATGGTAGCCAACACAAGCAGAGGCATTAGTTGGGCAGACATCTGCTGAACTCCGCAAGCACAACTCAGCTTCCTGATAACTTATGACACCCTCCCATGTCCCCAAAACCTGTTCCAGTGGTTTGGGAATAAGGATAAATGTCTGCTGTGCAGCAACAGCAACTCAGGCCTCCAGGAAATCCTGCTGGACTGCAAGGTGGCACTGGCACAACCTAGTGCTGAGGAAGCTAGTAGAGCTGTTGGGTTAAGTGGAGGGTGGGGCCAAATGACTCCTCAGGTTTATTCCCATTGTCAAGCCAGGAGAGTTCAGACAAAAGCCAACAGCAGGGAAGACAACATCCCTGCTTTCTCCTGGAAAGGCCTGGAAAATAAGAGTTGACCTGGACAAACAGCTAGCTCTCCCACCTGAGATCACACACACTACCAAGAGCATCGAACTTACTGTCCCTTACAAGGAGAGGTTGCCAGCAACACGAGTGCAAACAGCTGAAGTACTCTGAGCTAATGCTTGGTGGACTGCAACCATTGACTCAGTGGATGCAGGGGCTGTGTGGGCAAATCAGCAGTCCAACGGCTAGAAACGGCTAGGACAAGTCTACAGAAGGCCTTCAAAAAGCTAACAGAGAAGGAAAGCTACTGGCCACAGCGAAGGGGGAGGGACAGAATCTGGAGCACCAGAAAGGGAAGCTGCATACACTGGTGGAGGTGTGACAGACAAGACACCAGGCAGGTAGAACATCACCTGTACAATAAGCAAATCGCTTTTGATGCTCATTATTTCTGAAAAGATTCCTCCCAGTCTCAAGTTCAAGGGTTAGGTGTTAGGGTTTGGGCATGTCAACCGAGACATTATGTTTCCCCTGAGACTGGATTTCAAAACCTCCTTTTAAGTAGGAGAAATTTAATAGAAATGATTCCTCCACAGTTAAATTATAAAAAGCCTGATGCTGCAGAATCATTATTACTAAGCTATCTCAGCTCTATCTGAATAACGCAGTTACTCAGACCTTCCAGTTTAGAGGTCAAGGAGTTGGTATAATCTCCAAACAATGTGGCTGCTAAGACAGAGACAAATCAATTTTTTTTTTTTTGTCAAGGCCATGATCAGAATTAGGGAAATGCATTACACAGAAAGACTAGCAGAATCCCTCAATGAGTTATTGATTAAAGCGTATTGAATAAGAACCAGTAGGAGCCAAGGAATCATCTTCGGCTCTGATTCACCGTGAGAGGACAGACAGCCAGCCTCCCTGGGAGGGAGGGGAGAATTATCCTGGCAGTGCAGAGCAGGGCTCCTGCAGCAGTGAGCAGGCACCACGAGGACTCAGTGGATAACGAGCAGTCTTTGTGATGTGTGCTGCAGGGGCTAGTGAAGGCTGAGCCAGGGAACAGTAATGAAGTGCAGGCATTCGTCTAAAGCCACACAGACATTCAGACACACTATATGAATGCACCTCTGTTGTCCTCCGTGCCTACCTTTCCCCCTTTCACTGCTATTTGATATGATTTGACACATTTCTGCACATGATGCTGGATCTTATTCCCATTATGGAAATCAGGTACTGCATTGGCCACAGTAGCATTGTCTAAGATATCCAAGTCCAGAGGTACATGTATTAAAGAAAATGTCTTCTGTACATGTAGAATTTTAAAGACCTGAATAAATCATCCAATTTGTAATCACATAACTTTCAACAAATCTTGTCTGTAAAGTGAATCAGAATTTCCTTAAAGGGGAATGAATCTTGAGATCTTTGGTTTCGTTTAACAGTTAAAGCACTTCCTAGACAAAAAGGTTTGTGTGTGCATGCTAGTTTGTATGCAGTGCCAGTTGCTGGGTGGCTGGTGAGGACAACGCACCCCGACCTTTGCTTCCACAACATGTAATGCACTTGTCACTGCTGCTTTACAATTCATGGACCACCCCTAGAACAAGGCTCTCGGAATAACATTCCTCAGATTTGTGTATAATTATAAATGCACATGCGCACACAAACACATTGTAGCTTCACCTCATCACTACTTTGTAACTGTCTGACAATTTCTTCCTCACTTTACAGCTCGATCTCATTCAACGAACAACATATTTCAGCTAAAACGGCGTGGTAATGTGCACGTTATCAGGAGCAGGTTCTACTTGAGTTACTGCTGTCAGCGAGGGCTGAAAACATAATGACAGCTGACTGCTGTGTCAACCTCTCTGAACACATGACTACTGCTACTGTACAGGTGTCACAGTTAGGCATGGGGGTAAAAAAAAAAAAAAAAAAAAAAAAAAAAAAAAAAAAAAAAAAAAAAAAAAAAAAAGAAAAGCCAGCAATTATGGTTTGTGGATAGAGACTCATAACAGCACATCACTAGAGTGCGATCTGCAGGATTGCATGGGCCACTGCACCCATTGGCCTTTTGCACATTTAAGTTGCAAAGTCACACTATTGTCTGCACTCATGCTACAGAGAGATGCAGCGAAATCCCTGCTTGGGCCTCATGTCTCCACAGCCAAAGGGAAGCAATTTCTTCTCTCAGGAGAAATTAATGGACAAACATTTGAATAACTATATGGACTTAAGTTCACAACTTGACCTACATTTCACCACAGAAGTAAGCAGAAGTGGAAAAAACCAATTTCATCAGAACAATCAGAAATGTCACAACATGTTGACTTTATCCTGAGTTACACCAGTGGTGTTGTCAAAAAGTTTTCAAAGCCCTGACGTCATTCCAGGCTGTAACAAACTAAACAATAACTTACAATGTCAAAGTGGTGACCGTTCTGCACACCGTCTCAGAACTATATTAAGTTACCACAAATGCAAACTGCTAAACACTACAAGTGAAATAGATGTTGACTTTTATTGTAAAGCAGCTACAAGAAATGCAATGTATTTGTGCTGTTTTGCACCAAACTACCACCATAATCATCTGCATTATGTACCTATGAAAAGGACAAGATCATTTTAGCATCCAGTGTTATCTAATGCATTATTTTTAAAGTTTACTGGAAATGCAACATTTAATTTTACTCCTGCATGATAATGGACTACGGCCAATTTAGTGCTACTGTAACTGTGCAGGAATTCATTTCTACACAGTGTTTAATATGTGGTGTTACACTATAAGTGTCATCTGAAATTCTTTGGTTGACTTATTAAAATTCAATAAAAGTTTCTTGAGTCACATATAATTAAAGCCACGTTTTACTGCTTTCACTTCATATTTTATTTCTCACAAGCTTGTTTATGCTCCAGCTTTAGTTTACATGCAAATGGAAGCCTCGGTGGGAGTTGGTGTACTACAGCAATAACTGTTATAATTGAATTAGGTGAATAACTGTTTGTAGTGTCAGTTCAATATCTGGGACAAGTTAATGGTGCGATTCCGTTGGCAGCAAACACCAACATTGCTGCATTACTGGAGAGAATCCAGAAGTGCCTAAATGTGTATCGTCTGATATCACCAGAGGCTGCGTTCCTCTGAGGATCAACACTAAAATATTTATCAAAGGATTTCTTAGTTGGGATAAATCATATCTGGTTCCTTAACCAAATAAATGGCACAGATCATCTAGGATGTACAAATATATCAGAGAGAGTTCAAATATAACCTTTTAGTCCAGTTTCTATTAGTTTGAAGTCTGTAAGTGGGCAGGAGTCACACCGTGCAGTAAAACCAGGAATAATAAAATCCAACCTCCGATCAGGCTGCGTTGTCTTCTCTGATTCACTGGAGCATGAGAGTGGGAGAGATGGCCAGAGGGAGCAGGAGGCAAGAAGACACAGCTCTGCTTCCTGAGGTGAGAGTCGCCCCATACTGGTCCAGAAGCTGCAGGGCCACGCCATTGGTCCAACCAAAACCCAACTGCAGACAGGGCAACATGGCAGAGAATGGAGAGTGTTTTTATTTTTGTTTACACTGTGATGAGAAATAAAACAAGTGACTAATCTGTGCTGCTGAAAATAGAAAGAAAACCAAAATGAAAACTAGGTGACAACAAAAATGATCAAAAAAGAAAATACAGAAGTAGTAAGGAGTGAGTATATATGTATATGCAAAGGTGCTCAAGTTAAGCAGAAATGAGTGACAAATTCAGAAGACTAGTGTCACTATAGACACATTAGTGTTATGACAGCAGCACATGAAAGAAATACCTGAACTTCATATTCTCCTCCCCCACCAGGTTTGCCGTCTCCGTGCACATCATACTGTCAAAGAGGAACAAAACTACACATTCAACCGTCTGTGTTATCACTGTGCAACACAGGCTCTGAAATACTGAAACCTTACGAGACTCGCCTTTTCAAACATGGCATCATACTTCATGTATGCCAACCAGTTTGTCCTGATCCAGCGCTGGGCCAAATCAAACGCGAGTTGTTTAGCATCCTCTGAAGGCAGTTTGGATAAACCTGGAAATATGCAGTGATTTCAATCACTGACCACTAATTGGATCATGAAGTCATGTTTTTAAGGCATGGGGTTTTGTGGAGCCCCACTGTGTTTGTACTGTGCACACACATGACATGTTACACATTCCCCCCCGCTGTCGTCACACAACACATACATTGCATCTTGGTGAGTAACACAGTAAACCTAACTTTTGATTGTTTTTCATTAAGCGCCACAAGGCACCTTTAAGAATGTGGATGTAAACGACCTCAACTCAAACCTTAAGGTCAGTAGTTTAACCTGCTTTACTTTCCTCAAATCCTGTGTGTCGAGTAAACAACTGGAGGAAAAAACTAATGCACTAGTACTACTGTGCATTTTCAGAAAATGCTATCCAAAGACAACAGAGCAACATGTTGAACAACCAGCATATCATCACAGGACATAGTGTTTCAGGACATAGTAGGCATCCTACCATCGATGAGCATGTGCTGTAAAGGAGGCCATGCGTTGGGATAGTCCCACTGCTGCCCAGAGTCTCTCAGTGACGTTGGAACCCCATTGGGAAACCGGAGAGCACCACTCCCCTGTACAGACACGAGCAACCAGAAGAGCATGTTGGATGAAACCTGTGCAGTCTGTGTGTGCCATCTGGTTGAGCAACCTAGTACTGTCCAATGAGAAGTGGGCTTCTGAGCAGAGGGAGGATTCACAGCTCAAAAATGCTGGTGGGGAAATAAAGTGATGAACAATGTCTCCTGGCTCAGCAGCTGTCAAGAAGCACTTCTGCAAAATATTTAAAGCCTAAACAGTTAGAGTGGGGCTGTCATGGCCAACAGAAGAAGAAGAAGAGGAGACTGGTCATACAGGGCAGCTGTGTTGATAAAAATGATCATCCATGCTCATTCAAATGTGTCATGATAAATGCAAGTTAAAGGGCTCTTGCACAAAAATGGCATGAATGAGTAATTCCTCACTTTCCCCTAATGCTACATAACCACAGTTACATTTTTAGAAATACCTTTTTTCACTGCTTGGTGCACCTCAAACAGAATTCTCTACACTTCCACATGGGATGGAGGTAGAAACCTCAGACATTTCAAAACCTAATCAAATTAAACCAAATATACTGTACCTGCACAGCTAGATACTATTAGCAATAAGTAGAAATATGTATCTTTTGTAACTTGGATGACCTGACTCTTTAAACTAAATGATGCATTCTGGTTTTAGACTTGGGACCACAGTGAAGCTGAGGAGGTATACCAACCTTCAGATATTGTACCGCCTTCTCTCCCATCTCCGGCTGAGAATAGCACTGCGCCCAAACAGGCGCCAGGTTGGAGGGGTAAAACTCAAAGTTTTTAGAATGAGTCACCAGGTTGTAGTCAAACCAGGCTCCCCTCTCAGCATCCCAGAGCACAGCCTCAATCGCCTGCAGTCTGCGGGCTGCAGCCCGGTCATACAGTGCAGCTGAGTCACCCTGTCCTGTCAGGAAAATGGCACATCAACGCTATGCACCACCGGTTAGGAACTAAAAAGCTGGGTGCAGACTAAAGTTGGTTCCCAGGTCAAAGGCTGCTCATATTCTCACCCATTATCCTATGAAATGAAGCAAGAGTCTTCTCACTGAGGCACAGCAGAGCGTTGAGGTCAGCGGGTAAAATCTTACTGGTGCGCGTCCCCCTGAGAGTGCCGTCATTGTGGATGTCACCGACTACATACCAGCGGGATGTGAAGTCCCAACCAGACTCTGCACCTGCTTTCAGATCCATCCACAGCTGTTTTTTATGGTCTGAGCGCAAGAAAAAACATGAAATCATTGGTAGAGACAACAAATCCGAATCTGTACTTGCTCATGTATGTTTAGTTTAACTGGATGTGAAAAAGAAAACAAGCAGCCGCTAAATTTTTTAAGTTTTGAAATATTCAAGACATTCAGACAATTCAGTCTCTTATGAGGAAATAACCATAACTATATAGAATGGAAGGGCCTTCAGAATGCAGACATTTCACAAAACTCAACATTTTAGTGAATACTTTCCCTTTAAATACATTTTCTTAAGTGTAGCTACATTGTTCACAATGAATGAACACTGAATATTTATTACCACTAGTACTGATGTATTTTTGGAGCAAATTTGTTTTGCACAAATGATCATTGCATCCTGGGGAATTAGACATTCCACTTTTGTTGGAGAAGTGAGTACCCCACAGCGTTTTTTCTCTCTTTCACAGAATGAAATGACCACAGCAGGGTGATTATTCCTCATGCTCATAAAGGGGCACTCCCTCTGCCACTGGGAGCACGAACACTCATAAGCCATTACCATCAGTGAGGCCTTCAGCTAGTTCCAGATCATCTGTGTAGGCTTCAGGCCTGGAAAGAACCAAACGTGTCAGTGCAGGTGAAAGTACACCTCACAATATCCACATCTTTTTTAATTCAGGACATTTCTTTAAGTCATACCTGGGCAAGTCGACCTGCACGTGGTACCGGTTCAGTACATGTACTGTTCCATTTACCGTCACAGTCACAGAACGGTTCTGCATCCAAAATTGGTACTCCTGCTCCAGAGCCGGTAAAGCCAACCTAAACCATGTAAGTTTGCACACACAGCAGGAAGAAATGTGTCAATTCAGAACTCTTTTCTCCAGTGGTGGAAAGTAACTAAGTACAATTTTGAGGTATCTGTACTTTGAGTATTTTCAATTTGTGCTTTGTATTTTCATACTTTGACTTCACTAGATTTTAGAAGCAAATATTGTACTTTTCCCTTCACTACATTTATTTTAGAACAATTTACTAGTTCCGTTTCAAAACCATTATAATACAAAAATTACATTACAATCATAAGACTGACCTCTGGAGCAAAATATATACTGCTGAGTAGCTTGTGAAAAGTACTTCAAACTATAAGCATATGAGCTAAAACCAGCTCCAATAATATGATATACATTCATGTGAAATGTGTCATTCTGAAAAATGAGTACTTTTACTTTAAGTATATTTAGATGCTAAAACTTTATGCAGGACTTTTACTTTGTAAAAATACTGTTACATAGTGGTATTGCTACTTTTACTTAAGGGATCTGAGTACTTCTTCCACTGATGCCTTTTGCTGTCCTTATATTTTTACCCACAAAAACGGAGGAGTCCTATTTTAATTAACCAAGTTCCAGAGGCACAGAGAGACACGAGCACTGGGGTTTGATGTTTAGTGTCGTTTTCTCTGTTATGGGAGAGACACAAGGCAGCTGAAGAATGATGGCGTGTCTGACAGGACATCAGCTCAGGCCTAAATACCACCTGAGGAACTCTTTATCCTCGGTTGCCTTATAGTAGCTCTCCACCATTAGTGTGAGGAATGGAGGCTGACTGCGCCTTTCGTAGTAAATCCGCCCACCATTTGGAACGAAGCCATATCTGTAGGAGAGTGATGGAAAAAAAATTTTACTCCACAAATC